CTTATCGTCCATCCCCTAAATGTTTGCTTCTGGTTGGGACCTCATCCATGAGACATGCCTGCAAAGTCAACTCTCCCCTCACCCAAGGCCCAGGTCTGGTGAGAAACATCACATCCAGCGTGTGATGGAGGATTAATATGGGTCCTCCAGGCTGGAACACTGCTGCTGTAATTAGTCCATTCTGCACCTCCCTGTCCACCTACATATATGTAAATGTGTTGAGTCTGGAGTGTTAATAGAATGGTAGTTGCCACGTTACCCATCAGGAAGCTCTCAAAGTCCACACTGCCCAGCCATTCTGAAGAGGAACCCGTTTTCTCCCTTAAGTCTGTTTTATGTGTGAATGTTCAGGTTAGCTTTATGTCAGCTTGACACACCAAGTAGAGAAATCTGAAAGGAGGGGACTCAGTAGAGAACATGCCTTCGTAAGATCCAACTGTAGGGCGTTGTCTAAGTTGATCGATAAGGGAGGGTCCAGACTGTCATGGGTGGTACCTGGGCTGGTGGCCCTGGGTTCTATAAGAAAGCAGGCTGAACAAGTTATGAGTAGCTTACCAGTAAGGAGCATTACTCCATGGCCTCCGCATCAGCCCTTGCCTCCAGATTACGGCCCTGTTTTGAGTTCCTGTCCTGACTTATTTCAGTGATGAACAGCAATGTGCAAGTACAAGCCAAATAATCCCTTTTCTCCCCAACTTGCTTTTTGGTCATGATGTTCCCTCACGCAGAAACCCTGACTAAGGCAGTGGACTATCAAGCTCAAAGATCTGTAGCACCTGTCTTACTAAAGCAGCTCTGTTATTTTCCAAACACCTGCTCCGTGAATCGTTTCGCATGGAAACCATGTTGGGGAGGAGGCTGCTGCTGTAAGGTCTGGTTGGTCTGTAATCCGATCAGTGGCTGTAAGCCTGTCACCACCACAGTGCAGCTCACATACCCTTATGTAGCACTGGGGTGGAAAGATTTTGCTTAGAGTGAGCAGATGTTGCAAGCATTAACAAAACGTTCTTAAATCACTGCTTTTGTTTTTTGAGATTATAATTACCTCATTTCCCCCATCCATTTCCTCCCTCCAAAAGCTCCCATATATTCCTCCTTTTTTCTTTCACATCCACCCATCCATTATACATATGTGTATATTCTAAATATAATCTGTTCGCTCTGTATAATGGTACTCATACGTATGTTTTCAGGGCTGATCATTGGTACTGGATAACCAAATGGTGTATCCTTCTGAGAAAGACTATTTCTCCCCTCACAGCTTTCCTTATTTGCCTGTAGTTCTTTGTGTAGGGTTGAGCCCTCTTGGTTTTTTTTTTCTCCATCCACTTTGGCACATCTATTTATTAGCTTCAAAAGTATATAGAAGGTCCCCATAGAACCATAACCAAGGAGGCGGCAGACATAATTTGTCAGGCTCTACAAATGAAGTTGAAATTTCCTGCAGAGAAAGAATTTGCTAATCATAGGACAGTCTTTCTTCTTCAGCTCAAATTCAGAGTCAAGACCAGCTTGGGCCAGCAAGGCATACAGTGAGCTTGGAAGCACCAGCTTTCAAGTCCTGCAGGAGCAAGACTGTCAATCACAGGTCTCTGAAGTTGAATCCTCCTTAAAACGACTGAGTGTTTTTTGCTTTGTGCTAGGCTGCTTTGAATCTGACCCAGTAATGATTAACTATAAAGCAAGAGAGGCACAGTCATTAAGAAATGGTTTTAGAATCAAAGACTGTGGCATGCAAAGGTAATCCTAGCACCTGGGAGGCAGATAGAAGAAGATTGTAATTTCCAGGACAGTTTGAGTTTTACGCAAAATTTCTGGCCAGCCTGGCCTATGCAGTGAGACCTTGTTTTAGAAACAAGAAACAGAACCAAAGAAATGGTCTTGGACTCTCACATGCTTCTGGGAGAGATAACAGTATGTTGTATACAACAGACTGGAACTGCTCCCACAGAAATAAGACGCTGCAACCAGATGTAAGAGAGCAGAAAAAACCTTCTCAGATGAGTAATCCAAGGGAATAGGCACAATATTGAATCAGCGACAAAAGAAGGGAGAGAGAGACTTAATTCCCAAGTCTACGAGTTGTCACTGGGATATTTTTCAGTGATGAGCTTCTGTCTTAGGGACTGGTCAGGAAGAAGCAGAAGTTGAAAAGAGCTTCCTGGCATAAGATCAGATTCCTGGCCTGAATCCCAGTCCTCATCAGTGAGGCGATTAACATTTCCAAGCTTCATTTCCCCCAGTGAAATGTTCATCTTAATACATGATTCAGACAGCTCTTGAGGAGATCAAGGGTGCTATAGGAGTGATAATTCTTTTTTTTTAATTTTTAAAAATTATTTAAAATGGAATTACATCACTCCCTTACTCTTCTCCTTTCTACATCTTCCATGTCGCTGCTCACATCACCCTCCAAAATTCACATGACCTCTTTTTAAAATGTTGTTGCTATATATACATATAGAAGAATAAATACAGCATGCTGAGTACATTTCATATTGCTTACACGTATTTATTTCTAGGAATGACAGCTGATCAGAGAGTGATAATTCTTGGAAAAAATTAAAGTGGCTAGTTATATCTGGAAGTAACTAACACAAGCCATTCTGAGCAAGGATAGAAAGGAAGAGGACATGAGGAGGAAGAATGAAGGCCCTTGTTCTAGAACCTAATCAAAGCTCTTGCCAGCAGCGAAGTGGGAATTCCAACATGATTAACAGCTGCTCATGGCTCTTCTCCTTTCTCAGACATAAGCCTCCGGTTTTCTAGGAATCTCACCAGAAACCCCATTTTACAGGGAAAAGACATGCATTGAACCCCTTGTGCAGCCTTACTTTATGAGATTTTCATTGTAAGCCGAACGTGTTTAGAGAGACCTTACATAACTCCTATATCAAAAGGGCTCTTTTTCAAAGCAATCCTTTGAGAAGGAACTTCAGAGTCGTCAAAATGTAGCTAGGGCTCAATCTAAGGAACTAATTGCTCACACTCTGTTGAAGCCAGTACCCGCACTTGAGTGCATCTAACTTTCGTTTGCTCCCGCCCCCCTTGGGAAACACACGCACTGACTTGGGTGTGATTCACTTCCTTCAGGCTGCCTGTCTTTCCTTCATCCTTCATGCTCAAGCTTATATTAGAATATCTTCTAAAAAAATCTCTGATTTACTGGACTGTCTAGTCCTAAAAACTGCTTTGAGAGTTGAAGCTACAAACCTCCATTTGGCCTGAGTTTAAGTCTAGGAAAGCATCTCAGTCTAGAGTCCCTCCTAAATTCATTCTGAGATAAAAAAAAAAAAAATGAAAGCTTTTTTTTTTTTTTTTGAGACAGGACTTTTATATATTACATGATCATCTGCAACTTTCTATGTAGGTAGAATAAATAACTTTGAACTATTGATCACCCTGCCACTACCTCCTAAGTGCTGCGATCGTAGGTGTGTATCTACACACTGCAGTTTCATGTGCTGTCTAGGTTGAATCAAGGGCTTTATATATGCCAGGAAAGTGGTCCACAAATTGAGCTACAGCCCAGCCCTGACATTTTTTAAATCTCTAGATAATGCTACCATCAATGTTGTCCATACTTTAGAAAACATTACAAGACGAAATAAAAGAGACATAGGCCAGAAGTAGCAGACAGACACACAGACAGAGGGCCAGTCATTAAAACTTATTTTCATTGGTTTGATAAAAATTATATTTTTATTAAAAATAATCTATTTGGTAAATTCTGAATCATGGTAATGGTGCTTATATTATTCTGTCCTTTCTAAGGAATAAACTCTTGGGGATATGAAAGAAAAAATAACTTTTACACAAAAATCTAAACATAAAGCCAAGTTGCAGAAGCACAAAGTGAAACAAGAAATTGTTCACATCAGATAAAAGTTCTCTAATAGTTTGGAAACTGCTGTAAAGATTTTTTTCTTTTTCTCTTAAGTTAGTCATAAATCACAGAGGTTCAAGAAAATTATCACTGTTTTTGTGAGAAAGAGTGGATGTGGCCTACATAAGGCACTCAGAAGGCTCAGAACCCAGAGATTGAAAAGCCAGTGATTCCTCACGGGTGTGGTTCTGTGTACCCTAGCATTTTACGTGGTATGCTAATGGGAATGATTTTTGTTACAGTTAAAACTTATCCTTTGGATTATGGGAACTGGTTCTTTAAGAGGCCATAAAAAGTGAAAGGTATTTGGGAAAAGAAAAGAAATTTTCTCTCCAATAATAACTACTGGCTGTTTTCTTTTTTTCATCATCCTGTCCCTCCCAGAGAAATGACCAGCCATGCCATGCTCTGAAATTCTGTGTAGCAGCTCTCCAAGCTAGTGTTAAGCATGTTGTTCTTCAGATAGGATTTTTTGTATCACTTTTTCTATCACTATGTCTATTTAGCAGTGTCTGCGACAAACTTATGACGATAATTGCTATCTGGACTAGAATTTCTGTTATAAATTTGTTATTTGGGCATTATTATTTGATAAATGTTTATCAGTATGGAAACTGAGCAGAGTTTTTAAGGACATGATTATAACAGATCAATCCCGAACTGAGGCTGAGTTTGGCTCATTTCACTCAAGATAGTTTTCTAGAATCATTAATCAGGTCCATATGAGCAAAATTACTAAATGTTTTAGCCCTCGGTAGAGGAGGGCCAGTGCATGGAGACCACACGGAGAATGATCCAAACAGGTATGACCTACACTGTAATTTCAAAGGCATATGTGTATGTACACGACCTGTGTCACCAGCTCAACAACTGGTGTAAGTTACTGTAGGGAAACAGTTAAACATCAGAGTGGGGCCTTGACATAGCATTTAGTATTGTGAACACAGCATACCACACCAATTCAGTAATAAATCGCATTCAAATAGCAGAGGCATTAGTACTCAACCAGTCGGCAATCAAATAGCAGAGGCAATTTGCTAATTATTTTGCATGGGTGTTTTTGCCTGCAAATATGTCCACATTTCAGGATCTGTGCCTCGGAGAGCAGTCAGAGTCATGTTCTAGAACAAGGCAGGGAGAATAAGCGAAGCAAACCACTCTGAATCTGTTTGGTCTTAATGCTATAGATGACAGGGTTCATAAAAGGGGGGAAAAGGAAGTAGATGTAGCTCATTGTGATATGGACCACATGAGGAACGTGCTTTCCAAACCTGTGAATAAATGTCAAACCAACCACAGTAACATAGAAAACCAGGATGCAACAGATATGGGAGACACACGTGTTGAGGGCCTTGGCTCTCTCATCTGTAGAAGCAATGCCCATGACAGTCTTGAGAATCAGAACATAGGAGAAGAAGATAATCAGAAAATCTAGCAGGACCATTGCAAATACAACCACAATTGGATAGAGACGATTGAATGTAATGTCAGCACAGGCTAGCTTAATGACGTCTTGGTGGAGACAGAAAGCATGGGAGAGCACGTGGGATCGACAATAGGGAAACCAATGCAGGCGAATGATTATTGGCATGATTGATAGACCAGCCCTTGTCAATACACTTATGCCGATCTGCATTACCCTAGTGTCAGTGAGGATGGTGGTATATCTTAATGGGTTGCGAATGGCAATGAAACGGTCATAGGCCATGGCAAGGAGGACCCCTGACTCCACAATAGAGAGAGTGTGGATAAAGTAGGCCTGAGAGAAGCAGGCACCATGGCCAATCTCCCTGTGATTTAACCACAGCACACCCAGCACTGTGGGCATGGTGGCCAGTGTCACTCCAAGATCCGTAGCTGCCAGCATACCTAAGAAATAGTACATGGGCTCATGGAGTTTACGGTCATCCTTAATGAGGAAAAGAAGGGTGCCATTGCCAAGGAGTATGGAGATATAGGCCGTCAGCAATGGGAGGGAGAGCAGATGATGGGCTTTCTCCAGACCTGGGAAGCCAGTGAGCAGGAATGGGGAGGAGGGGGAGAAAGAGGAGGAGGCGTTGAGCCACATTACAGTCATTGTAGAGTGAAATATTTCTCCCAGGTAAGGTGATCAAATTCAGTTCTTTAGGATTTACCTCTTGAGGAGGCTACGTCACATGCTGTGTGGATGTTCAGTCTTCCTGCTTTCCAGCAACAGTGGTAGTTCAATCATTCAATCATGGGAGATTTCTAGGCATGGAGAAACAGCGTATGTCAAGAATAGCCCTACATTATTCAGACTTCACTACACGATTACTGGATTGTACATTAGAGATATGTGTGAAGAGCTGACTTAGATGAAATCTTTGTAAATCCTAGTCTCCAAACAAAAATGAAGAATGAAATAACTCTAATTGAGTAGTGCTTTCATAGTATTGGTACTTAAAAGGCTTTTTAAATGGGACTTCTTACCCTGAATGACGATATTTAGAATAGACAAAAAGTTGTCCAGAGTATATGAGACAGAATGACAGAAAGCATCTAAACATTGTCTCAAGACCAAGTGTGGATATCTGATTGTAAAAAAATATAAAGAAAATGGTAAATAAACAAAATAAACCAGTTAATTTTAGGGATGATATATCCAATATGTCTATAAGTGATCTTCACATGATAAAGGCCTAGATTTGGGGAGGATGAAAATAACATAAAACTGACCTCTATGTTTGTTTCTCCAAACCAAATAAACCTCAACATACTGACCAGTGTCATACTCTAGTTTCCCATGAGCTCTTTCCAAAGCTTCAGAGTTTTATTATATGTATATGTACATATACATATAATAAAAATAAGTCTATGACAGTCTCTTGAAGATACTGTTCGGTAACACCAGAAAAACGACCGTTACATATCAGATATTTACAGAAGCAAATTAATGGCCATTTAGGCATGCTAACATGGATTATGCTTCAATAACTAAAGAACCTAATGGAATTCAAATAAGTTGAGAAGGCGTTGTGACTCGGAATTCGAAGGCACCACTGGAGGCGGGCAGTCATCTGGCCGCAGCCATAAGAAAGTGACCCCTTCTTTCGCATCTTGTGTGGACTGTGCATCTGACATGCTGTGAAAACCATATCTTGGTGCATTTTTAGACACTGCTCATGTAACCTATCTTCATCATGAAAATGTGTCCTCAGGATCACCGAGCTTCACTCTTCAGAGTTTGGTTGCTGTTCCACTACTGCTGTTTCTTTACAGTAGAGAACTTGTGCTGACACATGCGTTTTAAGGTTGTCATTTATAAAGGGTACTAATGATTTCCATCCTCATCATGCTTTTGACACTAAGTACAAGAGCAGATTAGAACTAGCAAAGAATGATTTAGCAGGTAGAATTTTTGTCATTACAAAAATTGCAGTAGACAGACATCTGCAGACTTTATGCTGAGATTTGCCAAGTGATTTTCTTATTAACCCTATTTTCTTATGAAACCTATGGGGTAAAATAAGACAATTTAAGGAGGTTTAACTTTAAGAAAAAAATAGACTTCATCCAAGCAGCAAATAGTGTGCCCGGCTGGCCAAATAAAAGTTGAGGAGTGGCAACTGGGAAATTCTGACATTGTTGGAAGTGATATTGATCCTGTAACATTTACACTAAGAGAAATTGGGGGAGAGAGGGGTCTTTTCAACATGTGAAAAACACAGAAATAGCTAACTCCTTCCTGTCAAGAAAAGGCTCAGAAGTAGGTAGCTTATGGAAGGTGAAAAATGCAAGAGTAGTAAATAAAACTGTTACGTATTTGAATTCCACAATCTTGTGATTTAACAGTGTACCTTGTGACATGATTGCCACAGTGAATCTAATTGTTGTATCTATTATCTACACAGCTAGGTTTTTTCTTGTAGTGAAGATATTTGAATTCTTTTACAAAATTTAAGTTTATCGTAATACAGCAGAACCTTTTCTATTGTGTTACGTTGATACTATGCAAGCATCAGTTGAAGAATAAACAAGAAAGTGTAGAAAAGAAACCACAGAGCAAGAAGAAAAGGGGAATATACTACCAAGATGTAAACGCAGGGAGCACTAGTTCACCTCTCTCGGCAACTGCACTGCCATATACACTCACTTCTCTTCCTAGACCACGTCCACAAGTCCAGGGCTTCCAGATGACAGGTCCATGTTATTCATGAGTGGATGAGACTCACCAATCCAGCACCAGCATCCTTTTTATTCATAGTGGATCATGCAGGCTTGAGGCATAGGTTGCATCTTTAGACGTACATACCAGCTTCCCTCTTTCTCCTTTCACTCAAACTCTGAGCACTGCTGCCCGCTTTCCTCAGAGCTGTCTTAGTGGTACTCATGCTTATCTGTGAGATCTGTGCAGAGTGAAGGAGTTATTAGCAAGGTCAAGATTTTTTTTTCTTAACCCCCAGCCACTTACTCTTATCCAAGGTGTCTTCGGAGTGGGATTGTTTTGTTGATGAGAAATTTCAAACTCTCCCACATAAACTGAACATCCCCACAGATCCTTAGGAACCTCTTTCAGGCTTGAACATTTCAAATACAGATCCATCTTCCTTTGGTCTCTTTACTTCCATTTTGTCCTGACTCTGTTCCCACTATCCAAAGCACTTCATTCCATCCTCAATAGGATGTCTCTGAGCCTCTGTCCATTTTCTCTGTTTTTTGTTTGTTTGTTTGTTTTTGAACAGTTCAAATTTATTTTGCCTTCCCAGAACACCTCAAATACTTGATAAATAGCCTAATGCTCAGAACACAGTTTGTGTCCTGTTTAAGAGTCATTGATGAATTAGCTTTCCTGCGTTCCCTACATCTTTTGATATCACCAGCTTAACCATTTTCTCAAATGATTGAATCACACAGACTGTCTGGCACATTATTTCTAGAAACCAATTCACTCTCAATGTAGAGTTTTTAGGGCTCATGACTATTGCCCCCAAATTTGGCAAGCACTAGTATTGTTTTTCTCTAATAGAGAAATCATCTTCCTATGCCCTGGTGCCTGCAGTAGCACCCCAGAGAGAAAAATCTCACTGACCCGATATTTTGACCTTGTGCATTCTTTGATAACATTGTCAGGAACTTCAGATATTCAGCTTTGAAAAAGATTTGGTCATAACACCTATTTTTGTTGTTTTTAGAGACTGCAAAAAAGCCTGGTTAGTAGAGATATTTATTTTAGACACATTTCCTCAGGGACCATTTGTAATTTGGGCTGCTCACCTGCCTCTTCTTCATTGCCCTCCCCCTTCTCATCTACCTTCTTCCTTCTGTATTTTCCTCCCTTGTGTGCACGCTGAACCTTGGGGTTGTGGACTTTTTATTATCAGTCTCTAATGCTACTCTCTGTGTTCTAGCATTGAATTCCTTCCTATTGCTCGGTGGGTGATTCGTTTCTGCTACGATACAGAAGCATAAACAGAACAGTTAGGTATCTGGACTGCAATGGAGTCCTGTCTTTAAGAAATCCAAATCCTTCCCTCTAAAATGGGAAATACATGCAGATTAAAGGAGAACAAGGAATCTGTCTTGTTGAAGTATGAGTTACCTTGTAATCATACCCTATCCAGACACTTGTACTATTGTTAAGATGACTAAGCCATCGGACACATTATATTCTTGTTACATGCTGGCTCTTTAGAAATATATGTGAATGAAACCAAATTGTGTTTACTAAAGAAATGGGTGTATTAAAATGTAAGTGTAATGAGTTGATAAAAAGAAGACATATAACTGAGATGTAGGTTGTCAAAGCCTTGAGTAATCTAACAGGACACTTTGGAGATAGATATAAGTATTACCCCATGAAACATACTTCAACATACTAGGTAAAATGGCCAGACCTTTAAAGTTCCTCCTCACATTTTCATCACGTAGTGATTTTCTGGTACCACCAGGTCATTAACATGGAGCACAGTGGCCCCTGTGGCTTAGGGGAATCCAATATTCATATCCTGTGTAGCTGAGCCTCCAGGAACACGCCAGAATTCTGTCCCTTACAGGCTGGTGCAATAGGATAATGGGTTTAGGACTAGCCTGAGATACATAGCAAATTGTTGGTCAATCTGGAACGTACTACATAGAGACATCCCATCTCAAAGTAACAACAAAAATGTCCTTGCTGATAGTCAGGATTGAGAAGCCATTTTCAAAGACTTTTTACATTCATATCAACATTTAACTTCAGTCCTTGTCTTTCACAGATCAATTGACAACTGGGGTATATCCTTCTATAATACATGCAGAGTTCACTGACTTCTGCTAATTATGATTTGCAGGAACATATGTTTACAGAGCTGTACCATAAAGCTTGCATTAAATGAATTATCAAAACACTGTTATTTTTAATTTAACATTTATTGAGCTTGTCTTGACAATTTCATGCACGCATCACATACATTCTGATTATTATAACATTCCCAATATGCTTCCCACATGGAATATTCTTCTACTCAAGGACCTTCAACTTCACTGAAATTCTCAGAAGACAGAGGTAATGGGAATACAGATATATTCCTTCTAAGATCAGGCATATGGTATCACATCTGACTCCTCCCACCAAGAAAAAGCACCACATTTAGTGGGCCTATTTGGATTCCGGGGACAGCACATTTCTCACTTTGTGCTACTCTAGACCATAGACCCAGTGACTCAGAGAGCTGCTAGCTTTTATTAGAGCCTGAAATGGGAGAATGCCCTTCAACAGGTTCAGGCTGCTGTGCAGGCTGCTCTACCACTTGAACCATGTGATCCAACAGACAAGATGGTATTTGAAGTGTCAGTGGCAGACAGATATGATCTTTGGAGTCTTTGGCAAGAACCTATGAGTGAAACATTGGGATTTTGGAGCGATGCTCCCTCTGGGAGACAGCTCTTTGCCTGCCATTGGACCTTAGTGGAAATTTAATGTTTGACATTGGGCCATGAAGTTACCATCGGACCAGAGCTATCTATCATGGGCTGTGTGTCATGTGACCCACCAAGTCATAAAGTACTTTGTGTACAACAGCAATCCATTATGAAATGGAAATGGCATATACACAATCTGGCCTGAGCAAGTCAGAA